GACTTTAGGAAGACAGGTGAGGGAGGCGACGGTACTGGGCAGCGGTGGGGAGCGTGGTCTCTACTGTCACACCGACCTGGGTTCAAATCCCCTGCCTTGCCCTAAGACCCAGGGTAGGAGAGTTCATCTCTCCTGCCTCAGTTTCCCTCTCTGTAAGATAGGGGTCGGCTGCCCTATGGCTTCTGCCGGCAACCAATTCTAGCATGTCATAATTTCAAGAGTTTCATCAAAAGGTTGATGAGCCCTAACTGGTTTGGCTCAGTGGATAGAGCGTCAGCCTGCGGACTCAAGGGTCCCAGGTTCGATTCCGGTCAAGGGCAAGTACCTTGGTTGTGGGCACATCCCCAGTGGGGAGTGTGCAGGAGGCAGCTGATGGATGTTTCTCTCTCATCGATGTTTCTAACTCTCTATCCCTCTCCCTTCCTCTCTGTAAAAAATCAATAAAAAATTAAAAAAAATTAAAAAAAAGGTTGATGAGACTTGGGGACTCAACAGGGTTGAGTCACACATGTAGTCACCTGTTGGAAGTGGCTAAAGGCATTCCCCCAAACCTGAATAGGAAACTGATTGTGGCTGCCAGACAGTTAAAGGGCATCTTAATCTACATGTTATTGCCTCCTACTGGCCAAACACCTGAACAGCCATAGGCTATTCCCCAAACTGACAATGCTTCCGTACCCTTTGAAACCTTACCCTTGGAAGTGTATTGCCTCCACCTTGCCTTAGGACAAATTGTGTTAATAAAAGCAAGGGTCCTAGACACGGAGGGAGTCTTCAGTCCCTTTAGCGGAAGGTCCTCTGGCCCCCAATGCCTTTCAAAATTATATCTTGTCTCCGGACTCTTTATTATAGTCTCTGGATTCCTATGTCATCTACGCACAGCGCCTTTTCCAGGTTCCTGAACCCTTCTGGACGCCGGGACAAGAACCCCAGCAGGCTTCCATCACCTAATAGCCCTATTAGGTGAATTCAATGAGATGGGGCAGGTGAAGTGTTCTATAGCCTCCATAACTATTATTATCATCATGATTATAATGCTAAGGGCTTGGCACATAGTAGTTGCTTAATACATGGGAATTTTTAAATAGCATTCATATTTGGAGCAGCGGCCGGCCGGCGTGGCTCAGTGGTTGAGCATCAACCTATGAACCAGGAGGTCACGGTTCGATTCCCGGTCAGGACACAGGCCTGGGTGGCGGGCTCGATCCCCAGTGGGGGGAGTGCAGGAGGCAGCCGGCCAATGATTCTCTCTCATCATTGATGTTTTTCTCTCTCTCCCTCTCCCTTCCTCTCTGAAATCAATAAAGTTATATTTTTAAAAAATATCTGGAGCAGATGGAGAGTTACCTTCTTCCTCTCCCGCCCCCATGGGCCAGGCTCCACACAGCCAAACCCTTCTCTGTCTCCTGCCTTCAACCTCCTCTTCAAGGCCACCTCCTCCAAGAATTCTCCAGTGACCCTACCCTCTGGGCTGGAGGGAGGCCGCCCAGGTGACCTGCTGTGAATGCCCTGTGGGTGTGGGTGAGCCGGTGGGGACCTGGGCGGGGATAGGCGGCCTGGGGGGCAGGGGCACTTACCCGATGCTGGTGCTCATGGTGCCGAGTGGGCAGCTCTTGCCACCTGGAGGTGCCCTGGGAGCCAGCAAAGAGGTGAGGGCCTGCTCTGCCCTTCAGAACCTATGACTCCCACCCAGCCTCCTCCCTCAGACCCTCCTCCCTCAGACCCAGGAGTCCCCGCCCCCAGCCCCTCCTCCCTCAGACCCTCCTCCCTCAGACCCAGGAGTCCAGGCCCCCAGCCCCTCCTCCCTCAGACCCAGGAGCCCAGGCCCCCAGCCCCTCCTCCCTCAGACCCAGGAGTCCAGACCCCCAGCCCCTCCTCCCTCAGACCCAGGAGCCCAGCCCCCCAGCCCCTCCTCCCTTAGACCCAGGAGTCCAGACCCCCAGCCCCTCCTCCCTCAGACCCAGGAGTCCAGACCCCCAGCCCCTCCTCCCTCAGACCCAGGAGTCCAGACCCCCAGCCCCTCCTCCCTCAGACCCAGGAGCCCAGGCCCCCAGCCCCTCCTCCCTCAGACCCAGGAGCCCAGACCCCCAGCCCCTCCTCCCTCAGACCCAGGAGCCCAGGCCCCCAGCCCCTCCTCCCTCTGACCCAGGAGTCCAGACCCCCAGCCTCCTCCCTCAGACCCAGGAGTCCAGGCCCCCAGCCCCTCCTCCCTCAGACCCAGGAGCCCAGATCCCCAGCCCCTCCTCCCTCAGACCCAGGAGTCCAGGCCCTCAGCCCCTCCTCCCTCAGACCCAGGAGCCCAGGCCCCCAGCCCCTCCTCCCTCAGACCCAGGAACCCAGATGCCCATCCCCCAGAAATGCAAGCATGGAACCCAGATGCCCAGCCCTCCTCACCTGCCTCCTCTCCCCAAGGTCCCGTCTCCCAGGTGCTCACCCCTGAGAACCAGGGGGTTTGTCCCCGGGTCTCCTCAGGGGGACCTCTCACCCACTTCCTAGTCCCGGTGGCCCTGTATTCTTCCTCTAGCCACGGGGCCCAATTTTCAGCCCTCACGCCTTTACGACTCAAGAGTCTAGATCCCCCAGCCCTTCCTGAATCCAGGTCCCTGCTCCCCCCACCCCCAGACCCCGGCGTCCTCGCCCCCAGCCCCGCCCGGGGCCCCCTCCTCACCTGCCCCGTCAGGCTCCCTCGGAAGCCAGGCCTGCTCTGCTCTCCCTGCCACACCGAGGGCTCCTCCTTCCTCCTCCCTCCGGGGCGGCCCGCCTCCACATACCTGAGCACTCACCTGGCACTGCCCCGCTGGAGTGGCCCGGGGCGGGGCTGGCAGGGGGACCCGGGCGGGCGGGGCGGGACAGTCTCGGGAACCTCGATCGTTTCCCTGTAACAACAATGCAACAGTCACAACAACAGCCCTGGATTCTCCCAGTCCCTCCGGCTGTCAGGCTGTCGGAGGTCGGCTTCCGCCTGCTCAGGCCCCAGAGAGGGGCCGGCTACCTGGAAGGGTGGTGGCCTTCGAACCTGGCCTGTCTTTCTTTCATTTTCTTTTTTTAAAAATATCTTCTTTATTGATGTCAGAGAGGGAGGGAGGGGGAAGAGGGAGAGAGAAACATCCATGAGGAGAGAGAATCATGGATCGGCTGCCCCCTGCAGGCCCCACACTGGGGATCGAGCCCACAACCCGGGCAGGTGCCCTGATGGGGGAATTGAACCCGGGACCTCCTGGTTCATAGGTTGATGCTCAACCTCGGAGCCAGGTCGGCCAGGCCGGGGGCTGTCTTTCTATCCCCAGAGCTAGTGCCTGGCCCTCTCGGCACACCTGTCTGTGGTTCTGTCTCCACCTGTTCTCTCACCCCCCTCATTGCTTCCTTTCCCAGCTGCTCTGGGGAATTTCCCTCATAAACCCCGTGGTGATGGCTATAGGAGTCCGAGGCGGCCTGAGCACCGAGTCCCCCAGAATGTCAGACGTCACAGCTCACCCCCCAGGGCAGCCCACTCTCAGGCTGTCTCATCAGCGATGCCCACCTGGTTCCCACCCCTGGCCTTGCCCCCTAGCTGGTCTCCCTGCTCCCGCCCTCCCCTCACGCTAGTCCCAGTCTCTGCTCAGAATCCTCCAGCGGCGCCCCTTCTCGGGATAAAAGCAGAGTCATCGGGGTGTTCAGCGGCATTCCTCTAACCTCCCCCTCCCCACTCACTCTGTCCCAGCACACCAGCCTCCTGGCTGCTGCTCCAGCACCCAGACCCCATCCTGCCCCAGGGCCTTTGCATGTGCTGCTCTCTCTCCCTGGAACGCTGTTCCCTTCCACGGCCTCACCTCCTTCAGGTCGTGCCCGAATGTCGCCTCCTCAGAGAGGCCCCCCGAAACACCCCATTTAAGATCACAGCACCTGGCCCTGGCCGGGAAGCTCAGGTGGTCGGAGCATTGTCCGGATGTGCCCATGGTTATGGTGTGATGCCTGGTCAGGGCACGTACAACCAAGGGATGCAGCAATGACTGGAACGGGAGCCCGGCCAGTGTGGCTCGGTGGTTGCCCACGGATCCATGAACCCGTGAGGTCATGGTTGGATTTGGTCAGGGTGCATTATATTTGTGTATGGATTCTCCCCACAGCAACCTAGGAAATGGGTCCCAGGAACTCCGAGAAAACGGAGGCACGTACAAGTTACTAGTGAGTAATTTATTCACAACCACACAACCAATACACGACGAAGACTTAAAAATATATATATTTGTATTGATTTCAGAGAGGAAGGGAGAGAGAGAGAAATATCAATGATGAGAGAGAATCATGGATCGGCTGCCTCCTGCACGCCCCACACTGGGGATGGAGCCTGCAACCCGGGCAGGTGCCCTGACCAGGAATCCAGCTGTGACCTCCTGGTTCCTAGGTCAACACTCAACCGCTGAGCCACGCTGGCCGGGTATGATGATGGAGCCGCCGGTTGAACCCGGCCATGCAATCATGCACTGTAGCCCCTTCATCCTTTGGTGCCGCCCTCCCCTGCCCTGGCCCCCGGCTAGCTGTGTGACCCTGGGCAAGCGCCCTCCCCTCTCTGTGCAGCACAGCCTGGGGAGGAGCACATGAGATGACGGAGAGCTTCCGCGCAGAGGAGGCGAGATGACAGAGGTGACGTCTTCCATCCCGCATGTGCGATCACGCGGATGCAAAGGGCACCGAGGAGCC